AGCCCCATTCCCCTCACCAGGGGGACTGCACCATGGGCTCCCACTGGGCATGCGAGGCTTCCTGGAAATCACCCTGTTTCCTAAGGTGAACCAGCTCAAGAGAAGTCTCAACTAGAAAATGAAAATGTAATAAGCCTCTTCCAGAATACCAGGTTAAATGCTCTCAGTCTTAAGGCGGGTACATTTTGCCATGGGACAACAGAGCTCGTTAAATAGCTTTTCTGATTCAGTATGACCAAAAAATACTACCAAAAAAACCATGCACTTAGAACATGAATCCACGCAATGTGGCACTCTGCTGTGTTCTGTTCACACAGTGAAACTAGGACAAGTGTGAGGCATCCTCTGCAAACATTGGCCCTTGACAGGGAATCACAACACAGGGAACTTCTCGTGACTTTGCCCTGACTAGCAGCAACACTGTTCTCTATTTTCACACCCATGCTTCAAGGACTGGCAAGCCCTTGAAGCCCAATACCCCAAATCTTAATTCAGGAAGTGGTTCCTTCCACAAACTCTCTGTGCAACAGGGGCAGCAGGGTGAGATATCCAAACATGGGTAAATAGAGAAGCTTCAGCAAATCTAAGAAGACAAAGCCTGGAGAGTGTCTTGATGAAAACATATCACTGAAGCTCCTGACCTATCTGCACATGTCATAATTTATTCAGAATAAACGATGGGAACAGAACTCAGGAATGAGCAAGGGGGTGCCTGGGTACCGATTAGCACATAGACTCAGATCTCAAACATTTCCCTAAGGAACAACATCTTGTTTCATGAGTGTTGAACAAGTTGAGGGATGATTGGAATGACAGAATTTACAAAGAGCAAACTAAATGGGGAACTAACATATTCAAAACACCCCAGCTGTAGAAGAGAAATAAACTGTAATCAGTTTTAATTGAAGATCTAAAATCTAGTTGCTGTGGGCACCTTCAGGGAACTGGTCTCAGCCAGTTGGGGTCAAGGGGTCACCCTTTGCCCAGTTTCAGTGAGTGACAGCTTTTCCCTAAACACCTGAGGAATGGGAAATGGGAGGCAGGAGTGGGTTTTAGGACACAGGAACCTATTGTTACAGGACTTTTTCTTAGTTCATCTGTAGACGGGGTTCTTGTCCATGGCCATGAAAGTTTAGGCTTGCAGACTGTTTGAAGGGTGAATAAAGCAGGATTTCATTGAGTGAAAAGGAAAAAAAGGTGGAAACAGGGACTGTCCGCAAGGCCAGAGTCCCCGTTAGTGCTTCCCGCCTAGCTGCTTGAGTACCAAATTCCACACAGGGAGAGGAGGGGCCAAGTTCCTCCAGGGGCAAAAGGCGCAAACTTCTGCGGCCCCACCCCATTCCGCATTCCCAGTGTGCAGTAGGCCGGTCGAAGGTTTTCTAGGGGGGCCCTTCGTACCTGGATGTCTCACTGTGGCAGTAGCTCTTCCTTCTGCTGGCTCTTAAACTCACTCGGGAAATTTCTCCAGAACACCCCGCCAGGACTCCACACCCAGAGATCTAATGTGGACCTGGAATGAGAGTGGGGACCAGATATTAGCATTATTTTTAAAGTTGCCCCAGTGATTCTAACCTATGATTACAAAAGGATGACTAAGCCCCTTGGTTTGAACCAACTAGAAGGACTGTGGTAACTGAGTTTTGAATTGCCCTCCTAGGGTAAACACTGAAATATGGGCTTATTCTGTTCTCTCAACAAATACCTGGAGAAAATATTGCTGCAGGCCATTCTGGATGCTTGGTGTATATTACAAAAAAGAGAAAACCCTAGCCTCATTAAGCTCAGCTTCCAATAGGAGAATTCAGACAAGAAGCAGAATGCATGGTGCGCAGAAGTGTCAAGCAACATACCCTATTTAAAAAAAATCAATACAGTGATGGGAGTTGAGATTGCAGGAAAAGTGAGAAGCATAATTTGTTATCAAAATAAATGGTCATATTAGCCCTCACTAAAAATATATATTTGAGAAAGTTTTTGAGGGCAACAAGGAGAAGAAAAGAGTGTTCTAGGTCCAGGGAACAGCTAGTAGAAATGCCCAATATTGGATTTGACAGATATACTCACAAAATGAAGAGATGGTCAAGGCCAGGTGCAGTGGCTCATGCCTGTAATCCCAGTACTTGGGGAGGCTGAGGTGGGTGAATCACAGGAGGTCAGGAGTTCAAGATCAGCCTGGCCGACATGGCGAAATCTCATCTCTACTAAAAATACAAAAATTAGCTGGGTGTAGTGGTGGGTGCCTGTAATCTCAGCTACTTGGGAGGCTGAGGCATGAAAACTGCTTGAACCTGGGAGGCAGAGGTTGCAGTAAGCCAAGATTACACCACTGCTCTTCAGCCTGGGTGACAGAGCAAGACTTTGTCTAAAAAAAAAAAAAAAAAAAAAATCCAGATATGGCCACTGAAGGTTGGGCAAGATGAATGAGGTAGAAGGCTGTAGGTGGAGGCTGCAAATGTTAGTGAGGCAGCACCCTTAGGTGCCTTGCCAGTGCTAGGATCTTGGCTTTCACTTTGAATGAAACAGGGAGCCAGGAAAGAGTCTTGAGACATGGAAAGGAAGCACAGTCTGATTTGTATCTTACAAAAAAATTTGGCTGTATGTTGAATCTAAAGTAGAGAGGACTGATGTGGAGGCAGGAAGGTCGGCTAGTAGGTGATTGTTGTTCTCTGGGCCAAAGCAGGATGCTGGCCTGAATCATTGTCTCAGTAGCACTTAAAAAGCAGGCAGCAATCTGTCTTCAGAGATTAACATGGAAAGGCAGGGAGGAGGTAAAAATGATTCTAAGTTGGTTTCATATATATATATGTATATATATGTATATATATATACATA